GGACCAGAGAAGAGAGGGGAAGGGAAGGATGAGAGATGACATTATCTCCCCATCATCTAATCCAGATGAAGAGAGACTGTTCCTTAAGAGAGGGCAGACCAATGCCATTGTCTGTGACAAAGCGTGTTACTGCTGTTCCTTTCTGGTTACTTTGACTGTCAGGCTGTGCCTCCTCAAGTGGAACTCTACAGAGACTGGTTCCCTGAGGCACTTAGAATTCCATGGTTTATATCTTCAGTGGCTCTCCACTGGTGTCAGAACAAAGTCCCAACCTCTTGGCATGCTTTGTGGGCCCTTCTTGGCTTTCCCTGATTCTCTTGCAACTCCCTCTCCCATCAGTGCTTCTTCTCACGGAAGCAAACCTGCTGCGTCCCATCACATCCTACCCTGGGACATGTAGCTTCCTCTCCATGCTCCTCCCACTCACTCTGTCTGCCTGAACACCTACAAGTCCTTCAGGACTCTCCCCGCCACTCCTCATCTTTGATCCCTAAATGTTCCTACCTTTAACCTTGGACTGGGTTTGGGGTGGAAAAAGGCAAGTTTGATTCCTTCTACCCTGTTTTTTCATTCCTGCTTACATCTAACCTGTGAATATTATCAATCACCCACCATGGCATTCCACTGCTTCAAACATTTTGGTGATATTTATTTAATCTCTAGATGAGAAATTTCCTAAGCATAAAAGCAATGGAAGAAATCACTTCAGGAAAGAAAATCAATACATTTGACTACACCAAATTTAAAACTTCTAGATGTCAGAAACCATCCTAAACAAAACTAAAAGGCAGGTGACAAGGCTGAGGAAAGTACATGAGATATGACAAAAGGTTGTTATCCTTAATATATAAAGAGCTCATAAAAATTGACAAGAAAAATATTAAAATCCCAGTAAAAAAAGAGGGCAAAAGACATGAATAAGTACAAACAGCTAATAATTAAGAACAATCAAATAGCTATAACTACATGAAAAAATGTTTAACTTCACCAGTAATTGGGGAAATACAAATGAATGCAAGACTAAGCCATTGTTTATCTATCAAATTGGGACAACATCAAAGTCTGGTGTGGGTGCAGAGATCATTTGGTAGTTGTCCAAGGGAAAATAAGAGTGTTTTCAGTAACTCCTTACCACCCAGAGGAAAAGTCCAAGGTCTAGCCTTCACCTTCCTCTCCCATCTCATCTCCCACTACACCCCACCTCCCACCTGACACTTGCTGCAGTAATTTCCTGAGCACAGTATGGAATATGCCCTTCCTGGATTCTCTGTCCTCCTCCACCTTGTACCCACTGCCCCACAATCTTCTTCTCTGGCTCATACTCACTCCCTGACAGCTCTTCTGAACCATCACCACCTTCAGGACACTCTCATGAGCTGGGTTTGGGGGCCCTCCTCTAACTCTAATCAAGCACCCATTTCCTTACTGAGCACTCACCACATTATCTGTCAGAGACTCTGCCTGGGTTTCTTTCCACAGTAGATTATATGCGCCTCAAGAGGGCATTGTATTTTTATTCATTCCAAGATCACATAGATGCTCAACAGATGACTCTTGAGTTAATCAATCCTGTAATCAATTAATTATTCCATTTTGCCCCATTAACTTTTGCCACTATTCTGTTAAATGCATGTTTTACTTAAAACGGATCAAATTAAGTCACTTTGGATGGAGATAGAATAGCTCACCCATGCCCCATCCCCCATTTATTGCCCAGGTCTTATATCATCCTGTGGGTTATAACCAACTAGTGGGCCATGAAATTAATCTATGGGTCATGACCACCATTTTTCTTTTAAGTGAAAAATATTAAAACCAGAAGAAAATGGAATGATGCTGTCTCTGCTTCTTTCCCATCATGGACTTCCCCAGCCCTGACCCACAGGCAGGCAGGAGTGGTGGTGAGTGATACAGGCTGGAAAGTTGAAGTTCCTGCTGATTTTTATTAACCCCAGGAAAGTTACTGATCTCTCCAAGCTTTGGTTTTCTTATCTGTAAAATAAGAATGATAAAAATGCAGATGGGATGAAAGAGCAAAGACCCGGTTATGCCACAGATTCTGAAAACTCTGCTCATCAGCAGTCCTGACACTAACCGTGGAATCAACTATGGAAAGCGGACCTAGCATGATTGCATTATGACCCCCAGCACCTTCTGTGCTGATGCCTAGGGCCTCCTCTCCTCCCTTCCCAGCCAGATGCCAACCCTGCTATATACTGTGACCACATCGTGAGCTTCTCAGACTTAGGGGAAATGTCTGGGCCCCAGAGCCTAACATCATGGGTATAAACTACCCCACTCTTAAACTGAGTATCTGACCAAGTCACCACTTAAAGCCTTTTATGGTCCCCATAATGCTCAGCATAAAGCTCCAGCTCCTTCATGTGACCTACAGGGTCCTCCCTGACCTCCAGCTCCTTCATGTGACCTACAGGGTCCTCCCTGATCTGACACCCTGTCCAGCTCACCCTCCTATCCCACACTCCAACCCTCCCCAGTCACCTGCTTTCCTCACACAAGCAGTGCCTGGCCTTGCCCATGTCGTCTGGTCTACCCAGGACACCTCTCTGACCATCTGTCAAGTCACCATGGTTTACCAGCTCTTCCCAGGTTTCTTCCCTGTCTCAACTCCCTGCTCCTTGCTCTGTGCCCCAGGGCCCCCTGCTACACATCCCTCAACACTGCACTGCCACAGCCATGGTTCCATCAGCTGCTGAACAGGGATCATGCCTTTCCTCCCATATCCCCAGCACCTAGCACCCTTCCTCCCAGAGTAAGCAAACAGGACATACTTGTGGGAGGGAGAGATTGGTAGAAGGAGTTGGAAGGATTTCCCTCCCCCTGGTAAAGGGAGGATTTCACAAATCCTGGAGCTGTGAAGAAAGGAGGGAGAAGACCATAGAGGGAGGGAAGGAGGAAATAAATGGATACTCTTCATTTGACACCTTCCCAAAATGCCCAAGGTCATAAAGCGCCTCAGGGGCTTTGAACTGCAATTCAATTTCTAAAGATCAGGCTTGTGGGTAACCAAAGCAGAGTCTATGACTAGAAGAACTTCTGGAATGAGGCAGGTCAGGTTAAGTACCAGGGTGAGTTGGATGCCAGGAACATGTGCTCCATCTGGAGGATTTCACAAGCTGGAGGAGGCTCCCTGGGCTGTGCTCTGAAAGAATGTAAGCTTGAGCAATCAACCCTGGTAACACTGATAAGAAGCCAAGAGCTTTGTCCTCATGTTGTGAACATACTTTGGGTGGTGTAGGGACAAGGCTGGGCCACTCTGCCTACCACAGTGATTTCAGAATTTTGGCTACTCAGTTCCATAGCTCATGAACAGATGCTTCTGCTTGGACAGAGCCGTAGTAACTGAGATTGTGCCATCTGGGTCACTGCATCAGAGCATGGGGGCTGTGGGGAGAAAGGGGTTAACACTGGCTAGTCAATACCAGGCATACATTGAATCTCATTGGAATGAATACTGTTTCATTTGACTGACATCCCAATCCAATGAGATAGTAGCCTTGATTTTACTGGTGAGAGAGCTAAGGACCAGAAAGAGATTAAGTAACTTGTCCAAGCTCACAAGGTAAATGACTGAGCCCAAATTTGAACCTAAGTATGTTTGACTTCCAAGATCTTATTCTTTTCACACTCAGTTCCTATTCCTGAGTAATTCCTTCTTCATTCAGAATTTGAGTCTGATGCTCCTTCTCCAGGGTAGGAGAGGGTTAGGGTCATGGAACAAAAGACCTACCACCACTTCTCTTCCTAGTGGGGGAAGCAGGGCATGTCTGTCTTAGAATTTCCTTAAACCATTTACAATAATATCTGTGGTAGTGATCTTTTCTATTGGGAGAGTCTCTGTAATCATGCCAGGCCCTTTTACATGCCATCGTTCATGCTGACCTTCCTTTATTGTTCTATTATTCCCGGAGACCCAACAGGTCTAGGAGTCATTTAGAAATTCCTCACTGGGCCGAGTTGGGCAGGGAGAGGAAACTGGAACCTACTCAAACAATTCTTATTTATTATAACTGTTAGGCTGGAGGAAGGAAAAACAAGGCCATGCAAACAGAACAGAGAGATGCCATAGGGGGAGAACAGACCAGAGCCCAAGGTCTGTGCCTTATATGGAAAGGGGACAGCTCTTACTGAATTCCATCCTTCTGATGTGCCAACTAAGACCCGGATGTCAGCCTCCTCCCTCTTGGAAGGAAAAAGTTTCTAGTTGTCTATTACATCACCTTTAGCCAAACATACCTCTCCATGTCCCCTAGGATAGCTTGCCCACCCCTCCCCCTCCTAATTCCTTACAAGCCCCCACCTCCCTGACCAGGTGTGACTTCCCCGGCCTGTAATACCCAGACCACGGAACATCACCCTGGAGTTGCACTCAAATAAACTACCTGGCCCTTTGTTGCCTCTCTTCGCCCGCTTATTTCAGCTAAAATTTATCTTATGATAACTTGATACTTGTTTCCAATATCTTCTCCGCATCCCCCTCCTGTCATTTTTTAATAAAATGTTGAAATAGTAGGCAAAAGTAATAAAGATTACAGTTTCTAATAGAAAGCTGTTTAACAGTTTACTTTTTCATAAAAGATATTTAAATCTTGTTGTAAAATAAAGATAGAAAGTAGAATTTAGTGCAGTAGGAAAGCAAGTGTAGACTGTCAGACCTATGCCTATAAAAAAATGGGTATTGATCCGAGCAAGACAAGGGCAACAACAGCCATGGGCGCAGAACATTTGTCCCAAAACTGGGGCAGTGAGGTTCTGAGCCACACCTCTGTTGACCCCCAATCTCTCACCTGATGGCCCCCCTGTGACTGTGCCTGTCTTAGGTTGTTCCTCCCTTGAGGAATCTTACCCATATCTGGCTAACCAGTCATCTTCCAGGGCCGTACAGGGAGATGTAAAGTTGGTAAGTGAGAGAGAAGCAATGTTCTTTGAACAGGTTAGCTTTTTACTTCTTTGCAGATTTACACCCCATGGCTTCTATGCCCAGCAGTTATCTTGAGGTATCTTTACCACCTGGAAGAATTAAGGGGGTTTGATTTTCTAATTTAGATGTATAAGTGACCAATAACAACATTTCCAAACACCATAATAATAAGAGATAGCGGGGTTGCCCCTCTCAGAAGTCTGCTTTGCGATACCTTCTTTCCAGGCGTCTGAGCTGTGCCATCAGACGGGCAGTTCGGACTGGCTCCCGACATCTCCCCCTTTTTTATTTTTTAATTTAAAAGTTTGAAGCTCTATCTCCACCTTCTGGATGCTGCTTTTTAAGAGCGAGATGAGGACTGGAAGGGAAATAAGAAGTGTGAATATTATTATTCCACAAATCCCAATATTAATTAATAAAGATGTAAAACTCATTTTATGAATGTAGGATGAAAGATTTTTGAAAAAGGTATTGGAAACACTGTAGGAGGAAGAGTCTTATTCTGGATATTGACTAATATCATGAATTTCTTGATGTAATTTGGAGAGGTCAAAACTTAAATCTGAGTGGTTCCAAATTCCCATAATATGATTTTTAACTTTTTCCCAGGAATGTATGGATTCATTAACCCGTAAAGGGGTAACACATATCCAGTGAAAATCGGCATGACACGAAGGGCTAGCCGTACCTTAAGGGTCACAGGTTCTCTTCCTATGGTTAAAAAGCCTTCTTCCAGAGCGTTAACTTTAGACTCTAGTTTTTTATCAATAATCTCTTGAGTGGCTAAAGCTAATGATACAATCTTAGACAACTGATCAGTAAAAGCAGCAGTATGGGTCTCCTGTACTAGGGCTACAGCTGAAAGAAAAAGGGGAAGTTGCTTAGGTAATGAGTGCAGCAATACCAAGAATGAGAGCTGCCACAAAACGCTTTCCCCCAAGTAAGAGAGTGCTGGTATCACGAAGTGCTTGCAGCCCATAACCATCAAGCCATGTAGAATTTAAAGTAACAGGAATCATCAAATATGGGGGATGGTGCACAATAGAAATGACTTTTGCATTATTTTTTACAAAAATACAGGTAGAAGGAGTACAACTATTAAAATTTATAATCAATTTATCTATAGTTTTGTTAATTTTCACAGATATACAATTTTGAGATAATAAAAAAGCATATGAAGTTTGCAAACAGGTATAAGATTGATAAACAGCTTTTCCTGTGGGTCTATGCAGTGTTACTGGTCTGAGAGAAGCTACAATTTGCCATAATTCAGACTGTAAGAAATTTTTACCATTTAGGAATGTGGTCAAAATGGGAGGGACCCAAGCATAGCAATAAACAGTTTTACTAGTAATAGGCAAACCCTGAAGGTGAACTACAGCTTCGGCTTCCTCTGTCAGCTTCTTTATCTGGTCCCAGGTTGGAGGGTCACTTCCTCAAGTTGAGCTTGCTAATGCCGCCGCTGGGGAAGACTTGGTTGTGACCCGCGAACTTCTCAGGAATCTCGCAGAGTGAGAGGTTCTTCAAGGTTTTTTCTTAGGCGGGGACTTTCACTTGTCTTGAGAAGTTGTGTGGCGGAGTTGGTGGTGATTGAGACCTGTCTGATGAGTCTACCTGATACTCACACGAGTGTATCTGAGTCCTGTAGAAAAATACAAGCATATCCTCTCCCACAGATTATTAAAACATCGGGCCCTTTCTATTGCCCTGTAAGCAGGTCCTTCCATTTTATTAAAGGTTTGGAATTAGTTGAAGACAAAAAGCCACAGTATTATTTAGTTTACTTAATCTTATGTAATCAATACCTGTTCTGCTGAAATGTAGCTCTTCACAAGCTCAGGAGCAACCAAACAGTGATGATACATGACAACAGACTTCACTGTTTGATTACTCCTAAACCAGTAAAGAACCAGACTCCAACAGACTTACAAATGATAATATTTAAAGATTTGATGAAAACTCACTACAAGACAATTGATATAAGAAAATTTGGATATTTTTGTAACTTAAAACATTCAGTAATAAGGTGTAGCATCATCTTCTTTGGCAGTGTTTTCTAGGTAAATATATATCAGACAAATAAGCCAAATTAGCCAAATATTTTCTCAATGAGAAAAAAATTTCTCTGACATGTTCCAGGGACCCTCTGGGAAATATCGGAGTTAGCTAGAGGTAAAAGCACCTTTTTGAATTTGATTTTAGGAAACTGTCAGAAAGTTTCTTTGGCACTTCCTTAAATAAGATTATAGGTTGCCATGAAGCAATACTTATCCATTTAACCAGAATGACAATAAAATACCTTAAAGGCAAATGCAAAAGGTTACACAGTTGTTAGCAAAGTTTAACTTTTAATCTTTTAATACTAAGATCTTATTTTCTTAAGTACTCTGACAGCTCATTGAAACTGTAAGCATGAGAAACTGTTTTGATAAAAAATTAGAAAGCTATTTGCAATCTTTCAATATTAAGAGAAGGCTAACAGTTTAAGAAAACTTTGTCCTTTTAACTAAAAACAAAATTCTAATTTTCTGTGTACTGATATCGAGACTCATTTGCTTTAATTTTATATAGCATGACCATATTAATTCTTCCACAAAGTTTCTCACGCTGTTTGTAGGTATACACACTGTAACACACAATTATTAAGATGTATACCTGCTACACTTAGTTTACTCATTCCTAACAACCGTGCTAGATTACTCACAAAACTTTTACCAAACATTAGACAAAGTCAAACCTCTTTTTAAGCATTTTTTCTTGAAAGACTTAACAGATAACATCAACTTAAATGACTTTAGATAAACCTAGGCAGCTGATAACCATAAGGACATGTCTGTTTCAGTTTAACTTAAATTGGCATTAATGCTTAATATTTATTAGAATTTTTTGGAAGTTTTAGAATGCCCAATTTTTACAAGCATTTGTCTTTAAATCAATTTTTATTAATACCATCCAGAGGTAAAAAAATATTTTTCATTTACACACTTAGACACACAAACATACAAACTGAGATGCAATGACTACAGTTAGCAACACTTTTCACAAAAGAATGTATACACAGACAGACAAACTGACACAAAGATTTGAGTCATTAATATTCAATTGCCTTCCTTCTTTTTAACCTACTTGACTATAGATACTTTGGAATCTGGAGGGTTTTTAGCTAGTCGAGCAGCACCTATTCTAAAAGGATAATATTGAGCTGCAGTTTCTCCTAAATTCCTTTCTTTTTCTGGAGTTAATCTTTCATCATTAAGAGTGGGGGGCAGAGGCTAGCATCACTCGAGGTTTTGCTACAGAGAGTAGCGGTATCATCCATCTACCGGATGAGGCCACTACTAATGTCAAAGTGTAATGTGCCAAGGGACCATAGTCTTTGCAGGCAACCTTTAATTCTTTTAATAATTGATATGGGATGGGCTCCCAAGAGACGCTTTCATCGTCAAATTTTCCTCCAAAAATAATTAGGTAACACATAAATTCTATGTCTCCTTGTTCTGCTTGCTTTAAGGCAGCCCTTACTCCAGGAGTCTTTTGATCAAATCTGGGGGGAGGAGGCTGGAACGGTGGTGGTCTCTGAGTTTTACTAATAGGAGTAGACTCAGAAGGTCCTACAAAGGGATTCTTGGAGGAAGAATTTGTCCTTAAAGCAGGGGCAACTAATTTAGGTGGATAATCCTTATTATTAAATTTGGCACCTTCCTCCTCCAAACCTGCCTGATCTGTGGGGTCAAGGATGTCATCATCATCTGGAGGAGCTGATGCCAGCATGACTTACATGTTGTTTGTTTCTCCTTTTTGGGAATTAAAGGAGTATCTTCATCACCTTCCCCAAGGGGATCTTCCTTTTTGTCTCTTACTTCATTAGTGCCATAGCCTTTCCTATTGCCTTTTGTTTTCTGCCTGTTGCTTTCCTCTTGAGACTTGAAGTTGGGTGGCCTTTGCAGGAGGGTCTCTACCTGCTGTTTAGGTTCTAAAACCTCCTTGACTAAATTCCACAATGCAAAGGCATCTGTAGGGACGTTCTCAGGTCTGTGGCTGGCATAATGTTCCCTTATATCTTCTCCAACCTTCTGCCAGGTTGCGAGACTCACGGTGCCTTGGTCAGGAAACCGAGGACAACATTTCTGGACAAAATGTAAGAATTTTACTAATTGTCCATTGGTGACTTTTATACCCCTACCTCCAAGCATATGCATTAAAACTTCAATAAAGAGTCCTGTTTCTTTACACTCAGTATGGCCCATTGCTTCTCAACCTATAGTTCTGACCTACACACTATCTCTCACCCTGCCTATCTCTACAGGGGGGGTCTGCAGCACCCTAGTGTGAAATCCTAGCCATCCCGTATTGAGGGAGCTTACCTTTAGGTCCCTGTTTGGGTGCCACCTGCCAGAGTCCAGCTCCGGCGAGTCCAGGAGTCCCTGTCGGCGACTGACAGAATGAATGAGGACACAGACACTAGCAAAGCTGAGCCTGGCCTGTTTTATTGAAATTTAGCAAGGTTTTTTATGTTCTGAGTATAGTTTCACAAAGATTAGATCATTTGATTCTTTCAAAAAAAAAATGTTCACATAAAGGTCAATCTAGAAATTAGATTATTGGCACCTTAGCAATCATTAATTTTTTGCACTTATGCTTGCTTGGCTTCCCTGGCAGTCTTGAAACAAACATGACTTGTTCCCTCACACCTGGTTGGCCTGGGCCCTAATTGCAGTTTCCTTATTATTGATTCTAAAAGAGCCATGGTTACTAGTCATCTGATTAACAAATATAGCTAAGTCTATTTTTCTAGATCTAGAGCATTATGTGCAGATTAAAAAACATCAAAACAGTGTATCATTAAAGCAGTGTAGCAAGACTAAGTTGATTGTTATTGCAGGAACTGAAAACTCTGTACTCTTGGGTAAGTGACCAGTTTCATAAGAGATGAAAGCGTTGCATCTGGGGGGGATGATGTAAGGGGATAATGGCCACTGAATCAGAAGGAATAGGGACCCAGTCGGGCCACTTCTCTTCCTAAGGGGGGAAGCAGGGGCATGTCTGTCTTAGAGTTTCCTTAAACCATTTATAATAATATCTGTGGTAGTTATCTTTTCTATTGGGAGAGTCTCTGTAATCATGCCAGGCCCTTTTACATGCCATCGTTCCTGCTCACCTTCCTTTATCGTTCTATTATTCCCCAGACCCAACAGGTCTAGGAGTCATTTAGAAATTCCTCACTGGGCTGAGTTGGGCAGGGAGAGGAAACTGGAACCTATTCAAACAATTCTTATTTATTATAACTGTTAGGCTGGAGGAAGGAAAAACAAGGCCATGCAAACAGAACAGAGAGATGCCATAGGGGGAGAACAGACCAGAGCCCAAGGTCTGTGCCTTATATGGAAAGGGGACAGCTCTTCCTGAATTCCATCCTTCTGATGTGCCAACTAAGACCCGGATGTTAGCCTCCTCCCTCTTGGAAGGAAAAAGTTTCTAGTTGTCTATTATATCACCTTTAGCCAATCATACCTCTCCATGTCCCCTAGGATAGCTTGCCCACCCCTCCCCCTCCTAATCCCTTACAAGCCCCCACCTCCCTGACCAGGTGTGACTTCCCCGGCCTGTAATACCCAGACCACGGAACATCACCCTGGAGTTGCACTCAAATAAACTACCTGGCCCTTTGTTGCCTCTCTTCGCCCGCTTATTTTGGCTAAAATTTATCTTATGATAACTTGATACTTGTTTCCAATATCTTCTCCGCATCCCCCTCCTATTATTTTTTTAAAAAATGTTGAAATAGTAGGTAAAAGTAATAAAGATTACAGTTTCTAATAGAAAGCTGTTTAACACAGTTTACTTTTTCATAAAAGACATTTGAATTGATGTAAAATAAAGATGGAAAGTAGAGTTTAGTACAGTAGGAAAGCAAGGGTAGACTGGCAGATCCATGCCTATAAACTGGGTATTGATCTGAGCGAGACAAGGGCAACAGCCATGGGCACAGAAGATTTCTCTCAAAACTGGGAGGTGAGGTTCTGAGCCTCACCTCTGTTGATCCCTTATTGTTCACTTGATGGCCCCCCTGAGACTGTGCCTGTCTTAGGTTGTTCCTCCCTTGAGGAATCTTACCCATCTCTGGCTAACCAGTCATCTTCCAGGGCCATACAGGGAAATGTAAAGTTGGTAAGTGAGAGAGAAGCAATGTTCTTTGAAAAGGTTAGCTTTTTACTTCTTTGCAGATTTATGCCCCATGGCTTCTATGCCCAGCAGTTATCTTGAGGTATCTTTACCACCTGGAAGAATTAGGGGGGTCTTGCCTCTAACATTTCTCCCAAAGTATTTTAAATTTGGTTTTCTAATTTAGATGTATAAGTGACCAATAATAACATTTCCAAACACCGTAATAATAAGAGATAGCAGGGTTGTTCCTCTAAGAAGTCTGCTTTGCAGTTCCTTCTTTCCGGGCGTCTGAGCTGTGCCGTCAGACAGGTGGTTCGGACTGGCTCCCAACACTCACCATACACCAGGCCTTTGAATTTGACTCAATAACCACAAACTTGAGAAACCTAAGTATATGTTTACTATCCTCCTAGTAGTAACTGGGTAAAATTGCAGGCACAGTGATAAAAGAAATAATCAACTGTGGTGCTCACCTTCAAACCCAAACCTGGGAAGAAAAAGAGAATCAGATGCCTCAGGACCAGACAGATAATACAAGTAAGTGAAACAGGCCACCTGAGAGAGTACAAGTCTTGTCAAAAAAGGCAACTCCTAGTTTCAATGGATTGCCCTCTTTTGAAAATGCAAATCAGAGTTGCCTCATCTTCTGATTGCTCAGGAGAAGCCAGAAATCCTGGTTTTAATGTGAAACCTCCTGATTCTTAGATGGTGGCTCAATTTTCTTGAAAATACTAGGTGAGCTAAATAAAGCTTCCAATCCACCAGCTTTCAAAGCTCTGCTGCACAAGTGGTAAATGTCATCTTCCCCAACTGTGGTATTAGACTGCCACTCACCAGCCACCAATTGCAACTACAACAGAGACACAACTGATGGGGCCCTCCCATTTTACTGTGCACATACAGCTGGACTGGGAGAACTAACTCTACGGGAAAAAGTGGAAGGCTCAGTGGAGCCACTGAGGATGGCAGCAGGCTGGCCCTCATGGTCAGCTGCTGGCCAGCAGGCACTAAATGGCTGACTGCTCCTGCAGGAAACCTTCAGGGACTGGGAGGCCTTTATCTGGCTCAGAAGCCAGGGCTGCTTCTCGAAGGACTTCCAAGTGTTCCTCAGCAGCTGACAGTGACTGGTCAATCCAATCCAGGCCCCCAGTGAGGTGGCAGGCATTCCTGGTTACCAGCACCAGATGACTGACAGACAAGAGCAGGGCAGTTGTCCTAGGAAAAAAACAACAGGATCAGATTCACTAGGAAATGAGGGACATTGCACCAACACCCAAATGGGTAGATTTTAGTGTACTCCAAACTGGAGTCCCTTCCCTAGAAGGTTGGTGAGTATATAATTTAAAGATGGTTCCACACTCAAATAAGTTTGAACGGCTAGGTTACACAAGGTGAAAGCCCTTCTCAGAGCCTCGGGTGTGCAAGATGAAGCCTAACGGGAAAATACAATATGCTGACTCACTATCTTATTTAAGACTGTGGAACCCATGTTCTGCAGCACACCTATGAACATCTCTCAGAAGAGTGTTTTGTGGGACAGTTTGGATATAGCCAGTTGGAGGAGCACATCCCCACAGGATGCCCACAAAGACAGGATATACATACCCCCACCTTGAGCATCCCTTATTGAATCTCGATCAGTAAGGCCCAGAGCTACTTTATCCCACTCTAAAAAAATTTTAATTGAAAACCAAATTGAGGAGGAGGATTCTTTTCAATATTGAAAGATTCACTGTAGAATATATTTTATACAGTGAGGGTGCCTGATGCATTTGGCAACATATTGCTGATTACTAGCCCGCAGACACAGCTGGGCAGCAACAAGAGTGGGGCAGAGAAACCAACTGAAGAGCCGTGACCCACCGCCTTTCTGGCAATCATTACACAGCACGTCTACGAAGCAGTCATATAACCCTAAGAGACCAAAGTATCTGGATTTTTTTAAATGGGGTCGCATCTGGTAGAGAAACATAATTTCAAAAGGCTAAGTATGCCCTGCATACCAGGGAGGATCATGAGAGAGGGTTCCTGGGTGTGCCCCGTGGAAGGCAAACACAGCCAACTGGCCCATCCCTTGCATCCTCCTTGCCCTGTTCACCACCCACTCCACCCACCCACTGGGCAGCACTCTCAGCAAAGGCATATCTACTTCAGAATCCAAAGAGCAGACAGCAATGAGGGACATGGGAAGGAGGGAAGGTGCAGAGAGAACTTAGCATGGCCGGCTGTTTAGTCATAAAAATTCAAAATCTAAGACTGGCTCTCCCTTATCCCAGGTTTCAGAAAGAGCACTGACCTCTATCACCCAGCCAGGCTCAGCTTACTGGTTGGGGACCATTCACACTGCAGGGAATGGTACCGAAAGTCCAGGCGGCCTCAGGAATCCAGCCAGACAGCCCTCTCTCCCCAACAACCCGGACAGCTGACCTCAGAGAGCTAATAAAACAGGGCACTTCCAGCAGGAAAAGGAGCGTGCCCATGAGCTCCGTGCCCCGCCTCACCGTGCATCCAGGAGCTTGGGGTCCAACGGAGGGTACATTGATTTCACAACATCGTCCACTCTGAGGGAAGGCAAACAGTGGTCAGTATTTCACTTTGCTTATCTCCTTCCTTACTTTCCACCTCTCTTGATCCCAATTCTTCTCCTTTGATTTTCAAGCCCAGCCTTTAGGGCTTCCTCAGCTCATGGTTTTTGCACTCTCAAACTTAAACAGAAAGACTTCAGGTTCAGCTTAGAGAATATTTTACTTTCTGGTTTTGTTTGCATTCCAGGGATTTAAAGCATGTTAAGTTTATGCATCTGGAATGATGTTCAAGATGTATTACTAAATTAAAAAGACAAATTGCCAAACTATATAAAATTTGATTGACTATTTGCATAAAAATAGACAAAAGCTGTGAAACGCAGGGGGAAATGTCTGGAGGATTCCTCACCATTTAATTCCAGGTTACCTTCAGGAATTGGGAGGGGGTAAAACTAGGGGTTCTTTCATTTTCCATGATAATCTATTTCTGCAATGCTTTAACTTTTAAAAGATTTATTACTATTGTGTTCATAAAAAAAAACAACCTATAGTTAAAGGTAATTATATAGAATAGTAAAAAAAAAAAAAACAACCCACAAGGTTAATTTGGGTTCAAACCGCTCCACTGGATTTCTTTCCACTGGCACAGTTGATGGTTACTTTTTTAAAATCAAATTCAGAGAGGAACTACCATTCATTCTGATTTGCATTGTTCAAGATTTTCATCCAAATCCTTGCTCCTGGACCACTGGATAGTAAGGAAGAAAAAATAATAACAAATTGTTTGATTTCTAAGAGCACCTGAAAACAGACGCCCTTAAACATGGTTGGTTTTGTGTCAAGGCGGAGGGGCTGGTGAGGAGATGCAGAGGCAGGGCCACTCGCAGCATGTGTCTTAGCTGCCCCCTTTCTCTATAGTGCCCTGAAGCTGGAGCCGCTCTCCTTGAAACTAATATGCTATTAACACACTGTGGAATAAATGGAGCAAGAAAAACAATGGGGACCAAAAACAGCCAGAAGGAGAAAGAAGCGTGAGGGCAAAAAGACAAAGTGAGGGCCCTGATGGTATTACAGCAGGGAACATTCTGGAAGTAGTGCGAGGTGCTCTATAGGGCAAGCCAGTGAGCTTCAGGCTAGGTCCACCCTCCGAGCAATGCCACACTGTCACTCCAGCAGCAGTGGTAATGCTTATCACCCAGGACTTCACTCATCCTCAGAAAACTCGATCTCTCCCCTCCTCTGACCCCTCATGCCATAACCTGGTATCCCACAAGTAATGCAGACTCTACCCATAAAGGGTGGTCAGGGGAATGTGTGGTGCTTGCCCAGAGCCTGGGTTGGAGGGGCTTCAGGCCAGGGGCCAATCTAGGCTGACACACCCCTGGGACAGCTCCAGAGAAAGCCAAGAACTGTTCTGAGCTGAGTCCCTCCCCTGGATTATCTCCCTCCCACTGTATCAACTCACTGAACTCCCTGGACAGTGTTCAAGTGCACCAACTCTTTCATATTCCCTCAGAGGGCTGGTTCCTCGTGATCTATCCAATGGCATGGTAACCAGGAAGGTGAGGGCCCCTGGAACTCACAGCAGGTGCCACCATATTTCAGCCAGGAATATGGAGGCACCCTCCCTGCTAGGCCACATGCCAAAATAAACATCCTGGACTAGGACAACTCCCAGTTTGGGCACATCCACATGCCAGCCACCAGATGGCAGCACAAACTCAGTACCACCCTTCTCTCTAAGAAAAGGGCTTTATTTTTCTTCACAAAATCAAGCCCAAAGGAGGGGGCGTAGCTGTTGACTGCAGTCCTGCTGGTTGCCTCCCACACCGAATTTTGCAGACAGCCTGGAATTTGGGAGATCTGAATGATAGATGGCTTTACCTCCCACCTAGTCCTGGAGCTGCTGGCTCAGCCATGGATGGGGCAGCGGCTGACCACCATGCAGGGCTAAGGACCAGGTCCCCCAAACTCGTCTCCAGTACAGATAGGGCTGGGACGGGCATGAACAAGAAGTCACTGCAGATAGGGTACGGGCACCAGTGGGGAATGTGCTCACTGGCCCAGAGCCTGGGAAGGAAAGCAGCCCCAGCTGGTGTGCAGCAGCCAGTGGAATCTGCAGAATAGCTGAGTCAGCACTAGTCATCTGCTAAAATTTCCCAGGAAAAACCTTCCTTCCTTCAGGAGAGGTGCATGCTGCACTGTGGGGGCAGCTTTGTGAGATCACCCCTGAGGCTGAAAGTCTCTCAGCCTCCAAGACTTCCTGAATGCTCTCCAAATGTCTGGGACATAAATAACTCAAGTTGCCTGTGCAGTTTCTTGGAAGAGGCTGCGCCTGCCTGCCATCGCCATGTCCAGCCCCTCCCTTTCCCCCATGGCGTGTGGGGACCTCAAGGTCCCAGCGGCTCACCTGGGGCTGATCCGCTTGGCCACCACAATGATGTCACTGACGCTGGCTGAAGTCTTCATCTTGGCCCCCGAGCCCATGGTCATGGCAACAAGTTTTTCTGTCAGAGTATGACAAATCTAAGGCAGCAGAGAGGGACAGGTGATGAGGGGTGACCTAGCTCCCCCAAGGGTTTCTGCCACCCCCACAAAGACAAATGTGGCCCTCGCCTTGGGCCTCATCCCACAGCTGGGCCCCCTAACCTAACATTGAAGTGAAAAACACACAGATGAGAGGCAACGGGGTGGAAGGGGCAAAAGCCAGAACATGGCTAACGGAGGAGGGAGGGGCAGGAACCTCAGCTCAGAGAAGTCTAAACTGAAATAATCTGTCTAGGAGAAATCATGTGCTCTAATCTCACCTCCTGGCTTAGGGGGGGAACCCCATTTTCTCTTTTTTCACCTCATGGCTTAGTCTTCTGAAAGGATAAATAAGTCTACCAGGGGAGACCTCAGAAACACGGCTGGACAAAGAGCAACTGTTCCCTATATGCACATCCTCCAGTTTCCTATGAGGACTTACTTTAGCAATTTTCTAGGGTCATGTATTAGCAAGTGTGTCCAGATGATGATGAAAAGGCCTTGGGAAAAAGCAGGAAAAAGGCAAGACTGTGACACGTGGCCTTTCTCATCAACCACTAGCAGTGCAGCCACCTGCAAGTCTGTCCCGCTTTGTTCCCCCTGCCATGCCTCCCCAGCCTCAGAACCTGGCTGGGCTTCTGTCACTGGGAAATAAGTTCCATTACCTGAATTATACTTGGGGCTAGAACAGAGGGGGCAAGAAAGCAGCCCAGGAGAGAGGCCAGGCCCCTCCCTTAGGCCTCTATCACCGGACTCCAGGGCAGGAGGCCAAGCAAAAAGCCTTAAGATTCCAAGAGAAAGGTTAGAGCCTCCTCTGTGATCTGACCACTGATTCCAATTCAGCTAAGACTCTTTCCCTAAGACTTATTTATCCCCTTCAGGTGTCATTAATCCTTATTTTCTAATAGGCAAGGGAAGGAGACCCAAACCTAGTGCCAGGACACACCCTGGCTGGGAGAAGGGAGATGTGATATGGTGTTATTGCTCTAGTCATTAAACCTATCTGTCTCTACAACCACATCTACACCCAAAGAGCTTTTGGAATTCAATAATAAAGCCGAGACTTTGTGACAACAACTCCTACCAGGCATTTCTTTGTCCCCCAAGACAGGCAGCTGAGGAAGAGGTAGGGTGAAAGCCCTTTTAATATCGTATACTGAATGACACTAAAGAAAAGATAAAGCTGCCTTTTTTGAAATTTTGAATAATTACTAGACAAAGAGATAAATGTGTGGTCCCCAGGTTACTGGAATGAAGAAACCAACAATATTGGCAATTGGCCTTTTCAATATTATTACTCTTTTTTGGGGAAAGAATTGAAAAACAAATGCTGAAACAAAATTTCCCAAAATGCAGATGGGATGAAATTTTCCAACCAGTTCTAGAGGCTGCAGGCAGTAAAAGAATAAAATCTGCTTTCAAGCTGAAGGACTGGTGGGCTGGATTTTTCAACATTGATTGTCCCATTTGGCTGATTACTGCCACAGCCAAAGAGGGCTGGTGAAGGAACTTTCTAGTAATTGGAGAAGTCCAGATATAGAACTCAGCTGTTGGAAAGGGTTCTGAGTTCTCTGTTAATGAAAGGAAGTGTCCAGGAGAAGCTGGGAAGCCCCATGTCCCCCTCAGCAGCTACAGACTCAGGCACACAGCTTTCTCCAGAGTTGGTGACACTGTGGCTACTGACTACCTATGCAGTCTTTCTGCAGGTCATTGTGTTATGAGGACCAGGTGAAATAAAGCCTCTGAAAGGGCCTGAGGAATCCTAAAGTGTTACAGACCACCCAGTAGGAGTGGAAGCAAACAGGAGAAACGCCAGTGTCAGGCAGGTTAGAAAAGGCCTCTGGCTTGTTCAGTGCCCTTCCCAGGGTCCCTTTCTACTCGAACAGTCTGTGCTTTGATGAACCCCCATCCCACCTTTATCTTCAGGGAGTATTACCTTCAAGATGGCAATGCAGTGGGACATAAGACCCCTGGGGAGACAAGAAGAATTTGTCAGTGCCTCTCTGTAAGGCCCACCTCCCTGCAGCCACCACCTCTGCTCATCTAACTCTGAAACAGCCGGACACCACTTGGGAGCAGGAACAACTCCATTTAAAATGAGCGGGTCCACAAGCTACATGAGGAAGCGCCTTTCTTCCTTACCCTTACCCCTTGGCCACCCAACCTACTCTTCCAGTTGGGGCTGCTGTCCACCCACCAACAATGCTCTTATAACCCTGGATTCTGACACTGGTCCTCCATGCGGTGTATCCTTCCTCTCTTGCTCAGCCTGGAGAACACCTCACCTTTCAAGACCCAAGTAAGTTGAAAGGCATCTACTTTGTGATAGTCTTTGTGAACTCTGCCTCCACCTCCCCACCCCAAGCAACTCTAGACGCTGCCTCCTCTGGGTGCCCACTGCACTGTGCATAGAGACCCCCTCCCTATTGTTCCTGTAATGCTGTGTTTAGTAGAATTCTGTCTCTCCCACTAGTTTAGTATTTGTAGCGCCTGGGCCAGTGCTCCGCACATAATGCCCCATAAACGTCTGCCCCATGACTGATGAGAGAACCAAGTGGCATACACCTCTCCACATGTAGGGGCTCCCACTGGGTGGAGAGATCCCTGAGGGATGCTGAAGACAGAGTCTCCATCCCCGGATGTCTAATTCATGGGTGCCCCAAGGATAACCCAAGCACATTTACGTTTGCCATCTATCTGTGAGCCTCAGTGTTCAGGTCTACAATTGGGGGCAAGGACAAACTGGCATGTCATATTCGACTACCCCTGCTCCACGATGTGGGCTAGGGAAAGAACAGCAAGTGACACAGTGCTCCTGGGTGCTTGGTCAATTGCTCTGCAAAGGAAGCCAGCAGAGGGCACCCAGAAGCCCCATTTGCCCTCCACAGGGGGCTGTAGGGAAACAAATGATCCCCAAGGCCTTACGAGGCATCTTCAATCCAGTCTTCATTCTCCAGAATCGCCTCAATGTGGGGGTTAGTGATGACGACATCATCCAGTTCTAACTCTGAGGGCTCAGACTGGGTCTCCATGGCGCCAATGAGGTCCACGATGGGCCTGGAAGGAAAAGCCCAGGCAAGTGGTTCCATGATGGGTGACTGCTGCTGGCCCTGTCCTCACGGAGGCCCACATGTCCCCCAGAAGGATGAGTGAGTATTAAGCAAAGCAGGGAATTGTCCTTGATCCAAACCTAACCCAAGCAGAACTGAACTGTGGACAGAGCATGTGGCTAGACAGTGAGTCAAGGAGGCAGGCTGGACACACTAAAACAAAACAAAAGAAAAACAGGGTGAGATGAGCCACTCAGAGAAAGAGCAGGGCTACAACCAAGACGTGTGAGACAGGCCTGCTCCTTCAGGACAAAACTATATCCTGTCTTGTTTTCCCTTCAAGCCTACCTGTTACAGAGAAGCTCAAGCTCCTATTACCCAGATCTACCTGTACCCCATCCTCAGTCGGCAGAATCACTCTAGAGAAGCACCTTGTCCACCCACACAATCCCACCCCCTCCGAGCTACACTGGAGAAGTGGGAGAAGTAACACCCTCTAGTTTACAACAGGGTTCTTTCAAACTTGAAATGCCACAGCATTCTTTTCAATAGCAGAGCTTTCCTGGATCCTGTAAATGGGCATTTTCTGATTATTAACCACTTGACAGAGATGCTGCTAGGGTTCAGATAGAGGGGGAAGAGAAACTAAGGGTTAGTTGCACTGGTCCCTTAAGGATCTGTCAATTAAAGCATCCCTAATCTGAAAATAGATCTTGCTTATAAAATGTATTGCCCATAAAATGCATCAAGAAGAAATCTGAGCAAAGAGAGAGACAGTTGTATACTAGGATTTCACAAAACTGAGTGTCTGGAGCTTAGGTGTGTGGCTGGAGTGCTGGGCATCAGATTTCTGTCCCTATGAGCTTGGTTGGAAAAGGGTTTTGGCTTATCCAGATCTAAGTGAGGTGGCCAGTTGGGGACATACGGCCACACCTTTATGCTAGATGAACATGGTCAGCCACTTTGTCGTTAGCTCAGGGACAGTCAGAGGACACTCAGGATATTGGGGGCTTAGTAACATTTTTAGCTCTGAGGTCTTTATTGGGAAGAAATCCTTCAGGTATTATTTCAGAGACTCAAAACACTGAACTAGAGTTGCCCCAACTTGTGTCCCTCTCTTTTCCTTTTGTTGGAACCCCCCAGCACAACTTCCCCATGTCACCCCACTCCCAGCCCCTCTCCCCCTGCTCCCCTTATCCAGGGTGCACCCACCTGGAATCATAGCGCTGCAGCAGGTCCCGGGGCCGGCAGTAGCGCTGCCTGCACACTACCACCAAGGCTGCGAGCGAGGCCAGAAAGATGGTGGCCAGCACACCTATGGCGACAATCACCACAGTCTCCATGCTTCTGGTGGATCCTCCAGTGGGTTAAAGCTTGGAAGACACAAGGGCAGAGCAGGTCTGCTAAAGATGAGCCCAAAGACAGCGGGGGATGGGGAGACTAGGCTCCCCCAAGTCCTACAGAGACCTGAGGGCTGAGCACGATCAAGATGCACTCTATGTCATGCCCCAAATCTGCCTTTTCCTTTAAAAGAGTTTGCCACCAGTTGGACCAGGATGGCCTTTAGAACGTGGAACAAAAGGAAACATTTTAACTAGCACTGTTTTTTCACTTCTACACAAATGCATGAAAGAATATCCATCCACCTAAGGGTGAGACTATACTTAACTGAGGGTCGCCTCTGTGTCATGCACTGTGTGAGTTAACTCTGCGATCAGTCCTGTAATGTAGGTATTAGATTTCCCCATTTTACAGCTGCGAACCCTGAGCTTCAAGGAGGTTAAATAATTTGTCCCAGGTTATGTAGTCAGGAAGCAGAAAGCCAACCACTTAAATGGAGATGGGCATTCACTCCCTTTAGCTTTCTAAGGGGGAAGGAGGGTTCTAAAAGTTCTGGAAAGGTTTTAATCATCAGTTTCAGGGGCGGAAACTTACAGCTGGTGTTAAAGTGCTCCTTGCCTATTGCCTGTTTTCGATCAGGGGTTCTTTCATACCTACTGGAAAAAGTCCTCGGCAGGAGGAACAGGGACACCTCAGAAAAGTACGCATTCACAGTGTTACTTCACCTCAGTCCTCCTGTTTGTGCACCTTTGAGCAAGTGTCCTCCCTTCTCTGGGCTTTAACTTCTCCACCTGCAAAAAGGGTGCTTGAATCTAGGAGCCTCTGTGATCCTGAGACAGTGAAATAGAGTATTGCTTATAACATCTCCAAATAGAGGAAATGATCTATTTGGACTTATTCTATGCTCCATGTCTTAGATGGTACAAATGCTCCCAGACATTGTTCAGTATGTATTGGTCATCTACTATGCACCAAGCCCTGGGCTGGAATCTGGAGACTGGAGATAAGTAAGACATGGACCCCAAGACTTGAGGATCTGGGGAAGAGGAAACCAAGCAGTCAAATGTTTGCTGTTTGCTTATTTTCTATTTCCCCAACCCCTCAATCCCATGTGCCTGTACCACACTTCAACCATTTCAAGTCCACATGCCTGGGCCACATGCATAAGTACACAGAAAAGAAAGTGACTATGCTTGCATGACATTTTCTGGGAAGCCTTCTTCACAGGGGAGGGGATGCTTGAGCTGGGCTTTGAAGGATGACTAGGAGTTTGCCAAGTAGACAAGGTGGATGGCTTGAGGTGCCAAGGAGGCCTTTCCTCAGAGGTCTCAGAGCTGATATCCCACCCGAACTCACTTGGATACAAGGGTGAGAAGGATGTGGTGTTGCCTTTCATCTGTCTCTCTGCCTCTGGGAGCAGAGAGCCCCGGGTAATTCTAAAGGTCTGCCTCGATTTCTCTACATGTGTGTTTCTCTATACAGTCCCTTCTGAAGAGCTACTTCCTTTAGCCCTTTTTCTTTCCTACCTCTTTCTCCACTTCTTTCTCTCCCTGCTCTTTCCTCTCCAGGCTTGTTTCCCCCCACCCCTCTGGTCTCTCCTCTTCCTGGCGTTTCCCTTCCCCGCCCCCCTGCCCTCGGACTCCGAGACCAACCGCTTTGTTCCTTCTCTCTTTCTGTGCGTTTTGAGCGTGTTTCCCTGAGTGCGTGTGGGCTTTCTCTGAGTTTCTTCTGTCTCTATGATTTGTCTGTAAGAGCGTTTCTTTGTTGTGTTTTTCTTTTTCTTTCCTTATTCTGTGTATGTTTCTGGATGAGTTTTTCTCTCTCTTTGCACAAATTTGGGGAGGTCGGGCTCTTCGTCTCTGTCTCCTCTCCGTCGGTTAGGTTCTAAATCCACAGGGATAACACAGACCCAAGCTGCTACCTCCTCCCCCAGCCCTCCGCCCAGAACGCCCACCCTGGCACCCAGGACAAGCATCCCCGCACCCACGCCACGCGGCGCCGTGTTCGCATGGCTCCGAGCGCGCGGCTCCGACTTTTCCCGACTGTGGGCGCCCCGGCTGTGCCCGTGGGCACCGCGACCCCAACAAAGCGGCCGCCGGGCCGGGCCGGGGTCCCCCTCCCCCAGCGCAGCGGCCGAGCGGCGCCCTCGTCTCCCGCAGCCGCCCGCTGCACAGCGGCTGGGCTGGGGCGCCCTCCCGGAGCCCCCTCCGCGCGCCGGGGCTCACCCACCTCCGGCTGCGGCTCCGCGACCATCCCGGTGGCGCTCCCGCGGCCGGGCCCCCGCGGAAGGCAAAGTCCTCGCGCGGGACGCGGGCGGCTCCAGCGAGCGGGGCATGCCGGGAGGCGGCGGGGCCGTCCCAGGGAATCAAGATAAAGTCCCCAGAGAGGCCAAACCCCCGAGGGGCTGCGGGAGGGGGAGCTGCCGGCCCGGGCTTCCAAATCCCCCGCTGCCAGGCGCCGCCGTCACCGCCAGGCCCCCAGACGGGCCGGGGGTTGGGGCCAGGGAGGCCTGGGCAGCTGGGAGGCAGTCACCCAGCGCCCCAACAGGCGGCCCTCGCGCCCCCGCCGGGGTCAGGCCCTGGCAGGCAGAAGGCGGGGAGGCGGAGGGTCCCTGCCACCCCGCTCAACCCTCATCCAGGCTGGCCGTCTAGTGGGGGCGGCGGAGCACCCATAGATTCCCCAGTGTGACTGGTCTGCCTTGCTGCACACTGTCTGGTTAAATCCTGGCGCTGCCACTGACTAGCTCTGGGCAACTTGCTGCACTTCTCTGTGCTGTGGGCTGTTCATCTGTAAAATGGGACTACTACTTGTAAGCATCCTCCGAGTCAAATGACATGATGTACATAATGCAATTGAGAGAGCCTGGCCCAGGGTAAATGTGAATCAATGATAGCTCTTCTTACGGCCTCACCCACACTGAGCAGACAAGTAGGTCCACCCCTAACAAGTGCCCTGCAAGGGGCAAGAGTAGAAATGCAGGACCCTGACTGGCAGTCCTGCTCCTTCTGTTTTCACTCTGTCCCATATGAAAGGGGGACTCCAGTGCATTCATGGGGACACAGCCCTCACCCTGCAAACAGCCACTCCCAGGCCATGATGCCTCACGACTAAAGATGCCCACACCAAGCAGTGAGATTGCTTTGGAAGTGATGCCGGGGTTCTTGTTCACGAAGCTGAAGAATGAGCTTCACAAACACTCAAGGTAGAAAAGCAAGTACCGGCTTTTAGAGATGAAGTGAGAGGACAGAGCTTCCAGCTCACGCCAGGAGGGGACAAGAGAGTCCATGGTTGGCTCGTTGTCTAGGGGTTTTATGCACGGTTGAGGATTTTCAGGAATGAGGGTAAATGGTTAGGGGTGCAGACTTGTAAGACCGCCTGCCCTGCCCCCAAGGTGGGCTGGGTTGTTGTCTCTTTGCTTGGGTTGTTTATAGTTGAGATTGCTTACCAAAGTAGTCTTTTGCTTAGGTTGCAGATTACTTGATTATCATTAGAGAAGGGAAAATAGCACATAGTTACAATTAAAATAAACTGGGACTTTCAGCAGGATAAGGTAAATTTTACATTGTCATGATGTAATTGATACAATAAAGTGATGGTTTCTGCTGAGATACTTTTCTTTATCTGCAGAACACTCAAACATTCCAGGCCAAGTTGCTCCTGGCCTTTTGAGCTTTAAGCGATTTCGCTGAAGTATGTCTATATTCCTAGTCATGTATACAAATCTTTACCCTAGAGAATTAGTGTGACTCTGACTTTGCATAATGCTTAACACAGAGTTTTGATAGGGACTTCTTTGTATATTGTTACATTGTTCTGACTGTAATTATCTTGTTCTGCTTTTTCTCCGGAGGCCCTCACCCTACTGTGACTACACCCATGGTCCCTGTTTCAGAAGGACGGAGGTCCATGCAGGCCCTGGAAACAGGCTGGAAGCTACTTGGGCAGAGATTTCCAGAGTACAGCGTGCCAGAAACATAGTCTATAGGCATGAGCCTATATAGATGGTCACCCCCTTGGACCTCAAACTCGCAGCCCTGTGAGGAACGCACAGGACCAGAGCAGGGCCAACTAAAGTCTCAGATCCAGGGCAGGGTCCCAGCTGACCAGTCTAATGTAAGTACTGGGGACAAGTACCAAAGTATGCAGACTAGGTCCCTCACAGCTTAATGCTTGCTCTGCAAACTAGTTGCCCCTAGGCCACATCCAGCCCACAGAGGTAGGGGGTATTTGTTTTTGTTTTCGACTTACAGCTTTTAAAAAATCAAATTAGTTGCCAATATTTTTTTTTTTAATCAGGAATTTCACTTACACCTCTGGATTTCTAGCTTGCCTGGAAAATTCAAATGCAGCCCACGTTCCATTGGTAGAGAAGGTCAGTAGGAGAGAGGCAGCTGCTGTCTCCAGGCTTGATCTCCTGGCCCACCACCTTCCCCCCTGCATACAATGCATGCGCGTGCATTCAAGTCTCACTCTTTTTGTTAAGTGTCTGACCCTGTGAGCAGCTAAGGTTTCCCACTATTGGCACTTGGGAAGCTGGAGATGATTTTATTACCCTCTAAAGTGCTTTCATGGAGAAGCTACAATCTGTGTAAGGAAAATGGGCTTACACAAAGCAGCAAACATCAGAATGAGTGACTGGGGACAGTAAGTGCTTCCATTTCTGGGAGATACTCTAAGAAGAATGGGGCACTATTTTTGTCTTGGGTAGTTTAGACATTGGGTGGCCTTGAGGTAAGAAGCTAAACCACATGATCTCTTGTAGCTCAGGTCTAGGATTTTATGACTCCATAGGAGAGATGTAAAGGAAAGCTTTAACTTTAGGATATTTATAACACAAGTGGTAAAGACAAGGAGAGCAGAATTTATCACTGCCAAAATATGCCTCTTTGGCATAAGGATTACGTTAGGCTGATTATTTTTAAGAAACAGCAGACACTGGAAAAGCTCTGAGAACTGAGTAGAAGTTACTCTTTTGTAAGAGAAGTTCACATTTATAAGGAAAATCTCCATTTGTGTGTCCTCTGTGTACTAGGAAAAGAAGGACTAAATCTCTAGAAATTTATGAATGGAAAAAGCTCCAACCTAAATCTGCATAACAGCCTACCCTTGTTTATTGTGCTTTTCTGGTAACCTCCCACAACTGGCCTCCCTCCTCCAACATCTTTCTTTTGTCTTTAGCTGGAGATGGTATTTAAGGTGATGGCATTGGCCATTTGGGGGAGTTTCTCAGTTTTTCTGGATATCATCCATGTATACAGGAAGTATACATATTATTAAACTTCTGTTTGTTTTTTCCTGTTAATCTTTTTATTGCAGGGCATGTCAGCCAAGAGTCTAGAAGGTTAGGGGGGAAATTACTTTTCCCTTACAAGACCAAAACAAAGAAACGAACATATACATATATATATATATATCTTTAAATACCTAGTTTGACTCTGAGTCCAGACACTTATATAGGCTAGTGAACCGCTGTCCAAGGAGAGGCCAGCTAGAGAGGGGTTTGTGGGCATGGACAAAGACCATAGCAAGCCAGTCTACCTCCAGGAGCAAAAGCCATCAAATTCTCAGAATTTCTGGGGCTGAGGGGAGCGAGAGAGCAGGACCAGGAAGCAGGGAGAGAGGAGAAGGCTTAGAGGAGGCCTGGGAGTTAGCAAGGCATGGCTGCGCCAGGTTCCCCACTGGGAGCAAAGGCCAAGTTTGCATTTCCTCTATATCAAAGCAACTGGAGGAGTGGACATAGAGACCGTAAATGGGGATTTCCCCCGGGGAACACTGGGCATGTGCACCTGGGCAATGGTGGGGGATGGGGGGTGAGGATTATGGAATTCTCTCTTGCTTTCAAGCATTTGGGGAATAATGGGTAGGTATGTATAAGGGGAAATAGCATCCCATATTTTATTTAATACAGAGGAGGTTGGTTCAAAATTGGATTTAATGCACACAGACTAGTGGTTGCCATAGGGGAGATAAGTGGGGGAATAGGTGAAATAGGTGAAGGGGATAAAGAGGTATAAACATCTAATTATAAAATAAATTAGTCACGGGGATAAAAGTACAGCACAGGGAATATAGTCAATGATACTGTAGTATCTTTGTTGACAGATGATAACATGTTTATCATGGTGAACATTTCACAATGTACATAATTGTTGAATCACCATGTTGTACACCTGAAACCAACATAATCCAACATAATGTACATCAACTACACTTCAATTTTAAAAATGGATTTAATGGTACCAATAAAGAAAAGTCATTTGGGTTCAGCTTTAAATCTGACCCTTCAGCATTTCCTCCCTTTAACATTTCATCATGATTGTATTCAACACACTAGCTGCTATTTCTTAGACTTTTTATGTGCCAGGACTGGGCTAAGTACTTTACATAGACTCCATAATTATTACAGTAATCCCTTAAATTTGCGTATGAGGAAACTAAAGCACAAAGAATTAAATATATTTCTATACCTACTAAGTGGTAAAGCTGGGATTTGAATAGAATTGTCTGTCTGAAAGTTGTGCACTGGGCCTAGCCTATAATATGCCTCTGAGGGATCCCACCAGTGATGGGAAGCTTACCACGTCTAATGGAATCTCATTGCCCTTAAGTTTTTTCTTTCTCCTTAAAATTTATCAGATCCACCTTGGTGTAAATATCTAATAATAATTCCTGAAACCAAAGCACTCTACCAGTGTAGGAAACACTTTCATGTACATATTTGATTTGCATTTCAATGCCACCTGTGCCCTGGGCGTTACCATCACCATTTTACAGATGTAGCAGCAGACATGGTCGAGCAATTACCTGACTATGAGTTAGTGCAGACTCTTCACAATACCAGGCTGTCCCTAAATTCAAAGTCAAGTTCAAACTGGGGATTGTGAGATAAGAAAGGGAACAGGGTTAGAGGTGAGTCAGATAGGCTTCTTCTGTTTCTTGACCACCTTAGAAACCATCTTTCTCACCTGCTCTACTCCAGAGTTCATGCCCCGAGGACACACCCTCATTATACCCTTTAGGTGTGAACTTAAAATCTGATTTGCTAACCTCTTAAAATGGAAGATAAACAGCAGGTCCTAGTATAAGCTAATTAGTCAGAAGAGTAAAAAAGTACATTAGGTCATTGCAAAGGGGGTTAGATGTCCTCTCTTGGTCCTCTTTGTATGTCCCTCAGGCCCTAACTGAGGGACACCAACTTCCTAGCACAGATGTTAAGCCCAGTACTTATGATGGGGTAGCAGGGCTTGGAAAGGAAGCTGAGTTTTCCTCTAGACTAAGCCAGAAGCCAGTGTGTGGGGCACTGTAGGTGGAGCAGAGACACTGGGACCCTCTCAGATCCCTGAGGACTGTCAGCAATCTGAAAGTAGTAGAGAGAGGAGTCCGCACTCAGCTCCTGTGTCAGCCCGGCTGACAATTCCCCAGGACACGTGTGGGCTCCAAGAGGCTGGTGTCCCTACCCAGCATTTGTCTAAACCCTCGTGGGGCTTTGGGAATGCCCAAATCCATCCTAGGACCCGTGCCCTGAAGCCCCAAGACAGCAGAAACCCAGCAGGGAAGCCCAGGTCTGGTTGCCCACCTGAGCAGCAGCCTCTCCATCCCCTTAGAGAGCCTAGGAGCAGAGGTACAGCATCCTGAGAGACAACTATAGAGAGGATGGGAGAGGGCTTGAGGGGCTCCCAAGTGGAGCAGAACCCCCGCTCCACCCATTATTTCATGTAAGATTGCTTCAGGATCTGCCGACATCCTAAAACTGAGAAGGTGCACTTCAAGGAGTGGTCACTGGGTGTCACCGCTGCTTCCTAGGCAAGTGCCCTCGTCGGTCAGCTCATGCTAAGTGGTGCTAGAGAAGGGAAATTCCTTGCAGACTCAGTTTACAAACCCGGCATCTTCTGTGCTTTCTATGAACCCCATGATGTTATTGCCCCTCTCCTCCCCTGTCCCCTCTCGCTGGCCTGGACTGCATAGTCCGTCATGGAGCTTCTCCCTTGTCCCTCTCTCCTTCCTAACTCGGTTTGGCAGAACCCAAACTCTGCATTCTCTACACCGTCACTGGAGCAGATGCGTGCAGCTAGAGAAGGTCAAACAGCAAGACTGGCTTTGCTTTTGAGTCCTTAAGCAGCCACTCATTCCTGGCGAGCAATCTGTCCATAGAGACATACTATATACTCACATACAGAGGCAAGTCTCACTCTCTTACTCCTTAGACAATGATTTCACACTTTACCTTTAAGCCTCCCATGCCATCTTCCTCCACTTTGATTTGTTACCTGCAAGAAAAGGCAGGGGGTCAGGGAGCAGGTGCACAATTACCTTTCGTCACCAAATTTAAACTTACCAATGTTTGCACACATCTTCTCCTTCACTTCTGCTCTGAACTTGACCCTCTCCCTCACCTTCTCAGCATCCTGACGCCTTTGCCTTTTTCTACCTTCTTCTTAATTAATATCTCTCTCTAGCCTGGAGAAGCCCTATCAGCAAACAGTTAAGCTCTAGTACCTCTCCCCTTAAAAGTCTCTCTGTATACCAAGTGACTCTGGCTACCTGCCCAAGTCTCTGCTCTTTTTCAGTGGTAAATTTCTCCTTTTGCCTCCACACCATCAAAAAAGCTCTATTATCTCCCATTCACTCTTCAACCTGCTCAAATCTGTCTGATACCTGCCCTTGCTCCAGTGAGTTTACCTCTCAAGGTCACTATGATCTCCATGTCGCCAAATGCAACGGACATGAATCTGTCCTTTTGCACCCTCCCTTGGATTGCGCACAGCGGACTGGAACACTTTCTCCCTCCTGGCTTCCGTGATGCGGTTGCCTCGGGGTTTCTCAGATCTTTCCTCCTTGGAATCCTTTGTCAGTTCTCCATTGTCTGCTGCTATATATTAGCACTGCTTGGCCATGGGGCTGGATTGTCTTCTCTTTTCCTTTTTGCCCCATCTTCCTAGGTAATCGCACCCATTCCTGCTGGTTTATATACCACCTTTTCTGCCTACAACACCCACATTTGTACCTTCGGTCCACTCTTACCCATTTGACATCTCCATTTGCATGTTTCACAGATAGTTAAAACCTAATATGTCCAGAATGGGATTCTCAGTTTACACCTCTCCCAAAACACCTTTTCTCCCTCTTGTAGTCTGTCACTGGAACCACTGTCCACCACATTGCTCAACCCACTATGAATCATTGCTTTTTTCCTTCACTGTTCATATCCATTCCATGAGCAAATTGTGTTGATTCTATCTCAAATTCACTTCAGATCTCTTCACTTCTTCCCATCTTGACTGCTAGTTACCCATCCTCACGAGGCCACCATCATCTCTCTATTAAACTCATGCAAAACATTTCTAACTGCTCTTCCCATTTCCATACTCTCTTCAATCTATACTTGACACAGCAGCAGCAGAGATGCAGATTTACTGTATCTTAATCTATGTGTGTGTGTGTAATGTAAAACTCTGAGGTATACTTAAGAGTTGTACACTTCACCACAGGATAAACCTCAACTAAAAAACAAGCAAACTCATCAAGGTATCAATTTTCTGTAAAATCCTTCAGCAGCATCACACTGCCCTTGGAATAAAAAACAAACCCTGCATGACTTGGCCCCAGCCTTTTTCTCCAACCTCCTCTCCTACTGTACTTCTCCCTTGCTTGCTAGAACCTAACCACCCTGGCTTTCATTTAGTTTTTCCAACAAGGTAAATACTTTACTGCCTACCTCAGGACCTTTGCTCAGGCTGATCCCTCAGCCCATAACCCTCCCCTATGCTTAGCACCTTCTCTTCCTTCACATCACCTAACCAGACTTTCTCGTACCACCACATCTAAAGTATATCAGCCCATTTTTCCTTTCTGCTCCTATTGTATTTTTATAATACCATTGTTGTTTTGTTTTTCTACAGTTGGAACCAGCTTATACAATTGACAGACACACACTTATTACATACATGCTATTATGCTAGTGCTCCATATGTAACTAATGCCGTGAGTGTTATACTCAAATATATTCCTTTTCTCTTTATTTTTTAATTCCTATAAATCAAGGTAAAAGTGTTTTAAGTTAAAAAAAATCAATTCATTCCAGTGCACCCTGGGGTAAAAATAAGGAAAGCTGGTGAGAACAGGTTTGAGTTATATTCTCCAAAGGCAAGGTCAGGAGAGGGGAGAAGCATGCCTAAAAAAATGAAAGCCACCAATAGCAAGCATAACACACACAAGAGAAAATGCCTTTTACTTATTTAGTTTCCATATATTAAGTCAGGCTAAAAACACAGGACCCAAAGACCAGGTGTGCTGGCACTCCAACTCCTATTGCAGCAGGCACTTCTCAGATACCTTGTCTTCCAACTCAGCTCTCTGATATACCCAATTTCTTTTTGACAAGTGCAATCATTTCCACAACAGGGCCATTCAGAACCACTTCATTTATTCAAAAGCTCTTCTGAGAGCATCTCAGCTCTACTGCTTCAAGGACCTCTCTTCTGGTGACAGCCCTTCTGCGGTTGAAGCAGGACAGTCTAACTCCTCCAGGCTAACCCCTTCCTGCCTCCAGTTTTCCAGAGAGCCCAGTACCTCCCAGACCCAGAAGCACCCATTTAAGTCTTGGGGGATCTGGAACAGAAATGGCACAAGGGTGAAACAGAAGTGGAGGCTTCCCACAGTAAACAATTTATGGTCTAACTAGCACCCACGCACCCACAGCTTCTGTGGGTTCGTGCACATGTGGAGCCACACAAACCACCCACAGGGATGGGATGAAGAAACTAGACCACTGGACCTATCAATCAGCTGAGGAAGATGGGGGCAGGGGACCTGGTACCTGGTGAGAAAGATAACCCTTGTCTGGATAACGCAGACCAACTCCGGTCACTTCAACTGCAAGCCTGGGTTTTTCCAAACAGAAGCAGAGATAACAATCCAACACTTTCTGAAGATGGAAAAGAGATTCTCTTTTACAATACACTCTCACATCCTATATTTCATGTTAGGAAGCATTTTAACACTTCTCCATTTCCAGCCTTACATGATCTCCAGCCAGGCTGGGAAAACTTGCTCTTCCTCAGATGTGTTCCTGTTTTCAGTCTCCAAGCCACTGTGTATCTGTCACCTCTACCTACCAGGCCCACACCCAACTCCACCTTTCAAATCCTATCTACCAAGGCTGTTCCCCAAGTGCCACCCCTGGCTTATCTGTGCTTCACACAACCTCCAGCTGAGAAAAGGAACGCTCAGTGTTCTCAAAACCGGCCTCATGTCATTCGTGTTCTTGTCTAAAGTTAGAAAGGCAGTTGAGATGGTCAAAAACCACACTGCCCCCTGGGGACCACGCACCCAGGGCTCTAATCCTAGGTCCACCTGGACTAGAGATGTCATGTAAGCAAGTCATTCTCACACTAGGCCCATTTCTTTTTTGTGATTAGAAAAGGCCTGAAGCAGGATCTTAAAGGTTTCTCCTGGTTCTAATAATTTATGAGCATTTCCTCAATACTTCCCCCTTCTCCCCCAACTCCATCTCACACCTCCTGCCCCAGAATTGTGAGCCCCTTTACAACAGGAACCACATCATTTTCAGCTGAGCTCCTGCAGCAGACCTGGCTTGTACTTAGACACTCCATACATTTATCCAACCAACATCTTGTTTTATCCTAACAGTCTGAGAGGCTGAACCAATGCACCCACCTGACCTTTTGGAGACTTGAAAAAGCAGAGTGGTCTGCCAGCCCCACGTGGTTAAGGACAGACTAATAATCAGCAGACTGCTTGGTCCACATATTCCCATGGAGAGCCCTCCAGTCAAATGCCGGCTCTCCAGCATGGGTGCTCAATGGGGGGCAAGTGCATCCTCCAGGGGGTACTGGGCAATATATCTGTGGATGTTTCTGGCTGGGAAAGAGGGTGGTACTGGCTTCTAGTGGGCAGAGGCCAGAGATGCTGTTCAATAACCTGCAGTACACAGAACAGTCCCCACATGATCCCATCAGAAAGTGTCAGTAGTACCAGGGTGGGGAAACCCTGCTCTGTATCATATACCCCTCTCCTTCTCCTATCTTTCCTTAATCCCACTTCCCCCTTCTGCTCCCAGGATAAGCAACAGATTCCAAAAGATACTACTGGAACACAGGAGTCTCTGCTACAGTTACACACATGAACACTCAGTCCCATTTCACTGTCATAAACCAAAACCCAGTATCAAGCCTCAGAACATCTTTCATAGACTCTCCCCACTTTCTTTGCCATAGCTTCTTTTGAAGGGGAAGGCTTCTCCAGTTTTGTTTTCTACAATTTGTATGTTATGGGGGTGAGGTTGGGTGAGTGAGAAGAAGGAATGAGTACCCTACCCACTTGAGGTGCATCCCGAGATACATTCTATGCTCTTTACATAATTCTAAGTACAGAACAACACTTAATGAGAACCTGATCATGCAACTCTTCAAAGTGAAAGAAAGATGAGCTGGTGGATCCCCTCTCTACAAGCAAAGAGGATGGCATTTAAGAATCAATTTACAGATTGCCTATCAACAGATACAAAAAAGAGAGACACCAAGAGCTCAGGTGTTCAGAGTTGCTGCCAACAGAAAGTGAGCCAAGTGGGAGAAGGTAGTAGCCAGCAGCAGATCGGTTTGTAGAAGCTCGTTGCACACAACTTTGCAGAAACTCAAATGTGTGAAGAAGGACTCCTGTCTCAGAATAAGTTCAAGTCAAGTGCACACCCAGGGCCAACATGATACCTGTCTTGGGAAGCTTCCACAGAGAGTCCCAACTCACCTCTTTAGGATTTTCCCCATGTAACTAAAATAAGCCTCCTTCTTCTTCCTCCTTTTCTTCCCAAAGGCTAAGCTGGCCCACTCATACTTGATTCTGCCTGGGATATAAACTATAGTCTCTTCTCGGGGACTCTTAGGGGGCATAAGCAAACACAGTACCTGTGGAGGGCTTACTCCCCATGCCTCCAGGTCCTAGCACTGGCTGGAGGCAAATGCGCACTCCAAAGAGTTTTATAGGCAGAGCTGAAAGGCACTCTTCCCTAATAAAGTCAGTGATTAGTCCTTGTACCTGCAGGGGATGAACCCTCTCAGACTTCTTAAGAGATGTTAGGTGTAGAATCTAAAGCATGCTTGTGTTGCATTCCTGATGAAACCGTAAGGCAAGAAACTATAAATCTTAAGCCTCCTTTCACTCCCTCCCATATGAAAGACAGATACCCACTTTGATGTAATGGCCATTAGTTCACCAGTGCACTCTAATCTCAGACACTATTCTTTTTATACTA